AGTCAACTATAGTTGATACTGGATCCTAAATCTACTAAATCCGCCTTCAAAGCCATGGTTCAAATTGTTCACATGTAACAAGCAGTGATGGTGCTTAGTCACTTCAGGCTGCAACGAATTATCGAGATGACATTGGACTTTGAACATATTTGGATTATGATCCATGTTCTGCACTATAAACATTGGGAATTGGGAAAGAAATAAGTAGACTTTGAATATGGTTCTTTGATGTGATTTTCATCATCCCAATTGTGAGAAACGTTCGTGAATGTTCGTATGAGCACCTATCAAGAATGTGTTCAAGCAGGGATGGGAACAATGTGCAGGTCTAATTTGACTCATACCAAATGCACAAACCTGACCATGAACTATGAAAAGTCTCAGGGGGAAGAGCGATCAAGATCAGACATGTGTTTTCCATTGTCACTTTGGATTACCATGCTAAATTACCAAGGAAAATGCCTCTTGCCACACAAAACTGCACAGTTATGCACAGTTGCCCCATTTTGAGCCACACATGGGGAGGGAAAGGACCAGTTACTGTTTGGCTTGCCAGCTGTGAAGCCGTTCTTCTCCAGGAAGTCGTTGACCAAAAGCCGTGCCATGGTCACCTCCTGATTTCCAGCCTAGCTACAGCAGCTACAGCAGCTACAGCAGCTACAGCAGCTACAGCAGCTACAGTATGTCTGGTGGTTTCAGCATCAAATATGTTGATCGATTGGGATCATCTTAAGTAGGGAAAAGAAAAGATGTGTCAGTCCAAAACAGTCAACAACCACCAATGGAGCTAAATTAGATTCTGTAAGTACATTATGATAGCAACAGCCCGTGAAAAGGGCAATAGTATAGGAACAGCAGCAATCCGATATACATATGTATTGCAGCCAGCAAGGATATCAACCATCGAAACTGTAGAATGCATTCCGTGCCAGTCTTCAAATGGGAATTGATCCAAAAGTGTTCGGGATTTTAAGATAGAGGGTTTTCCAAAGAAGGCTGAGGCTCGTTCTGTCTTGCCAGTTTTGTTCCCTCCAGGAAAATCATGTCTTGAAACAACCGAGTCCTTGTAGTACTTCTTCACAGCTCTGTCGGTCTTGCTGGGTCTCTCCTGCTGCTGCGCCATGTTGAATCACGACCTGTAGGCTCTACTTCACCCAATGGCTGCGAAAGTCACTGTCCACCTGGAACGCTGGTTGGTCTTGTGGTGTCCCAAAATTCAATATCCCTTGGTCCCTGCAACAAGAAGTCTTAAGAAAGCTGTCGTTGACAACTGGTTTGGACAACATCATGGTGATGAAGTCCAAAGCGTCCAGATCAGAATTCGCCAGTTTCACTTGTAGATAGTTGTTAACATTTGTTAACTATGTGTTGTCAGTTTTCTCATTCAATTCAACGCCTAGCAATCCACGGATTCCTATGTCTGGATCATTGTCTCTCACAATGATCAACTCACGAAGGGTCATTTATCTTTGGAAGCTGGCTCTATGGTCTTCGATGTCTTCGCACTATTGTGCCAAGGGCCTCACTCTATCTATCAACTATGGCTACGGTTACTACGGTTGCCAAAGCCTCTTTTTCTGACAGTTCTGAAACACTATGCACAGCTTGCGCATGCAAATGGACAAACAAAAATGTGCGTCTCATACAATCTGTGCAAGCACAAGGACCTGTATTGTTTTCGTTCCCTACGGCGCGTCCAAGCACAACGCCTACAGCCACGAGTTTCTTACTCGGTGAAGAGAGCACCAAAGGCTCTACCGCCATCGGCTGTTTGGATAATCCAAATATGTTGAAGCTGGAGAGGCGACTTGTGGTGTGTATTCTAGTGGATCCAAAAGAAGCTATCAAGGCATATCAAGGCTATATCTATTTGTGTTATGTAGTCACGTTAGTCTTCTTGTGGCGCCTTTTTTGCGCTCTCTTCATGTGCGCTAACTTGGTATGTTGCCGAAAATCTGCAACATCTCCCTTGACATTGTCAACTGGAGACTTGCAACTGCCTAAGCAGTGCGCGTGATGCTTAAAACACTGTACGGTTCATTTTCATATCTGGGAAACCGGGAAACCATGAAATTCAATGATGGCTTCAAAAATTAAACTGGCTTGCGACTTAACTGCTAGCTTTGATTACTCTGCTACGATGGTCAAGTTGTACGCAGCTTAAAGCTGATTGTTAGTCCTTCAAGAAATAGTGCCCATGACACCTATCAGAAGTGGATGGCCACAAATGCCTGGGGCATCACCAGAATAGGTCAATCTTATGTGCAAAATTTGCAATCAAGTTCTCCTTGGTGTTCGACTGCACAGGGTTGAAAGTCCCCCTTACCAGTCAACTGCAGGCACCAGGTTTGCAAGAGGGAATCTGGAGATGTACTTGAAAATCTTAAAACTTGAAATGTATTGAAATGTATTGCATTGCGTTTGTCATTTACAGTGCTACATTTACGGCATATCATCTTCTCGACTGAATTGATCTATGCAAATCCAAGATTGTTCCTGGCGGTGCCTCTGCAGCTCCACCGTGCACCTCAAGAACTGGAGAAGTTGACGTAACGGTTGACAGGTTCGCGGTGAGCATCTCAGATATCTAAGCTGGTCGCCAGAGGGGGTCTGTGGTGCTCCAAGGACGGGTTGCCACACTCCATGAAGTTGAAGATCATCCTGTAAAGCTGGTGGAAGTTGATCCATCGAGATGAACATGACGCTGGTGGAAAAGTGAATGGGTATGGACCAAAATTGGGTACCAGTAAAGTCTGATGTTGATTCTGCTGTTGCTTCTGTTGTCAAACGCTGGTTTGACAGACCATACCGTCGGGCCTGCGACCTTGCCACGCCTATCCCAGTTTGATCTCTTCTAGGTGCTGCGGGTGTGCCCTACAGTTGAGGTGGATCTTAAGTTGAATGATGGCCGTGTACAACACCCCTATCATAGGTGCCGACTTGTCGCTGCCTGGTGAGAACAAGATATACTGAAAATGACCAAAATCTCCAGTGACATGACCCTAGTCTTTCGTACCGAAGCAGGGGAGTGGAGATTCCATTCGGATGATGCCAACATAGAGCCAGCGTCTGTAAAGCATAAAGAATGTTCAAAGCACGAGGAAAAATCAAAAGTTCTTGAAGATCACTTTCTTCAAGACGAAGAAACCATGTTTCTCCAACGGCGTTGGCTTAGGGGTCTCAGCCCAGACAAAAGTTTAACGCAGTTTCCAGTGCGGTTTCCGGGCTGGTTCTGAGAGGTTCTGGAGATTCCAGTGCGAATTCCGGGATGGTTGGGTTGAAACTTGATAGCTGTTCACTGGCTGCTGTCACTCTTTCCTACCCGGTTTGCTCTTGGGGATACCACCTGGGTTTATTTTATCATGTAGCCAAACAAACACAAAATGTGTAGAGAAAAGCCCCAATGTCCCCTATCAGGCATTTTGGGATGCAAAACCCAGCCCCATGTTCTACGGATTGATTGAAGATCGCCTTGCCTGAAGCCAACAACTACGATCACCAGTAAGAGGTTGTCATAGGCGCCTCCAATGGCCTGCACTACGCCAAAACCCAGCGTGCGGCACCGCGCAAGCACTGAACTTTTTCAGACGCTCCGCCAACAAATAGTTATGGTATGTTATGGTATATGTGTGTGTGTGAGTGTATACATATATACAATATATGCGTGTGTTCCACGTTAAAATGAAGCTTCCTAGACAAAAATAAGAGAAAAGTCACACCTCCTGCTTCAACCTATTGTTAAAGGAAGTATAGATAGAAAATTTCCGAGTGGCGGGCGACGGTCATGGTTAGCATTCACACCATCGTGTCAACCATAAAACAGCTCGGAAACGTCTGAATTCACGGGTGAAAACACTCTCAGGCGCGAAACCCTGTGTTTTTTCGGCAATGTGGCTCCTGGGGTCGCAGAACAAGGTCTCTGTTTCCGCGGTTTCGCGCCTCGATCTAGGAAAGTTGTCCAAAAAAACGCAAAGGAGTGTAGCAAGAGTTCGATTTGCACTTCAACATGCTAAAGAACTGGCATTTTCGAACCACTTCTGGAAGATGAGGTCCGCAAAACGTGCACCACTCTGTAGTATGAGCTCGCTTTCGCAAAAAAACGAAAAAGAAAACTTTGTTCGGAGTAGCGCGGAATTGTCCCTATCGTCAGCGCTGCGCGAACGTGATCCGATTTGGCGCGATGCTACTGCTATGCGACAAAGCGTATTGGCATGGCTGTGCGCAGCGAAGCCTGAGTGATGCTGCGATGCTCCTGCTATGCGAGATTGCAGCTGGAGGTTGTTAGACGCATAGGCTGCGCGAAAGGTAATTTTAGACCATAGTCCTACTCGTGCTATGCAGGATTGCAGCTAAAGCAATGTAAAAGCTGCGCGTTTCATTGATTCACTGGTTCATTGATTCTCCGACTCACTGATTCACTCATGCACTGATTTACTTACTGATTCTTTGATACATTGATTCATTGGTTCATGCTTCGTTGCTTCATTCATTCACTGATTCATTGATTCATTGATTCGTCGAATCATCGGTTCATTGGTTCATTGGTTCATTCGGTTAGTTGTGCCTGGATTTTTCATGTCATTTCATTAGCACCTCAACCACCATTTCGTTGATGCACCTCACAACTTCAACACCTCATTGCTTCCGCATCTAAAAAAAAACACAGGCCATTGATTTCTTATAGCCATTTCATTTTTTCGAAACTTCCACCCCGGCGCAAGCCGGGCACTACCTGCTATCCAGAAATGCGGGCTATTCCAACATAGAGGGCTTCCCTGCAAAAAAAAAGGGAATGAACTGCACAGCATACATTCTTGGTTATTTCACAGCTTCAGATCTGGTGGGGCCTCCGCGAGCATGGCGACAACACCCACCTTGGTCGTAGGCAAAAAGGTCATTAAGATGAACCCAATGGACCTTTGAAACAAGCTTTCTTTGACCACAGGTCACAAGGCTAGTATTTAGGAACTTTTTTACGCACCTCAGCTTCTAGGTGATGCTAGCCTGCGACTAGAGCACTGGTTCCTATCCTGATGGAACATAAACTGTGCGCTTGCAATCTAGGTAGCCAATATGTCTCAATGATGAGATTAGCCAGAATATCGCATCACGCAAACTAGACTGTATTCTGAAGAATGTTCTGCCGTCCCCCTTTGAATTAAGTAAAAAGGGTGGGCATCACCATTCTTTTGTGGTCCGGGCGGGGGCTAGAAGGGGGACATCTATAGAATGGAACCTCACCTCTATAGAATGGATGGCCTGGGCAAACAAATCATAACAAATTTCTAAAGAATGGAACCCCATCTCTATAGAATGGGACAAACAGAGACATGTCTATAAAATGGAGGAACCGGTGATTGGCTTGAAAAGTGCTTAATTTCAGTTTTGCCAATTTTTTGCCTAAAACTCGTGCACAGAGAAGTTGCAAAATTATATATGTGACTTTTTTGTTTTTGTTGTGGGCTCCGGGAAAACCATTCTTTAGTGATTTTCTTAACACTCTGGTCGACCTTTAAAACTTTCAAAGTTCCATTTTTTAGAGTTTTTGGGTTCGTTCAACAACACCAACCAATGCCTATGGGTTCCATTCTATAGTGATTTGCTATGATTCGCTGCTCTTTTCTCCCCTACCTATGGGGGGCCATTCTTTAGGTGCGCAACCATCCAACCTTCCCAAAACCAAACCCAGTGGAGCAGCACCTTTTGAACAGGGGGTGCTCGCTGAGGTTTGTGTTGGATTGCAGGACAGGCAGCGCAACCCAAAGAGATCTGGCATGATCTGGCCAAATCTAAACATGCCAATTCAAATTTATGCTTTTTATAATTTTAATGTATTTCAGTGTTCAAACGTGTTTCCGCGGGTTTCTCTATAAAATGGAGGACCTCAGCACATACCCCTTGATGTCATTGAACCAGTGAGCTCTATAAAATGGAGGACCTCAGTGATCTCATTGAACCAGTGAACTCTAAAAAATGGAACTTCTTTTTTGGGGGAAAACGCATCTGGTGAAATCGAAATTCTGAGGTGATCGCGGTTGATAACCCTGAATCTCTATAGAATGGAACCTCCAGCTTCCACCAGATGAGGTCAAATAGCGACCGGTCCTCCTCTAAAGAATGCAAGTTTCAAACGTTGAAAACCCACAAAACCCAAACCTCTAAAGAATCGTGGGGCCCAGGGTCACCATTTCCGAGAGGGAATTCCAAGGGGGATGTTCTGTTCCAATTCCAGCGTGCTCAAGTGGTCGTAATCGGTCATGAAAGACCTCTGCTCATGATTGCCCACCCGGTCAGTCTCATGTCGAATATTAGGCTTGCCATGGCTTGCCTGTCTTTAGTGGGTTGCCAAGAATGCACATCCTGCCGATCAGAGCTTCTTGGCATGATTCTTTGGGGATTCGGGATCCAAGAAGCGAAGTTGTGGAGCTGAAGCCCTTAACACTTACATAGTTGGTTCAGAACGGGATTGCCAGTCCATGGATTATCAATTATAATAATTTCCAACATATAAAGGAAAGGTAAGGACATATACACCATACAGGCCGCAAGAATTGATCATCAAAGGTTTCGAATGGCGCTGGGAACTCAGGCTAGCAAGCGTTGCCACAGAGAAGCAGGGCCAGCAAAGGTAATGACCTGAAACAGCTGCCAATGACTGTCGGTACTCAGGGGCCCCAGAGGCACTTGAGGTACTAATTAAAATGATGAAACAAGTTACTAGATGTTACACATGATGTTACTAGATGTTACATTGCAAGTACTACAATTAGTTAGAATGACGAAATGAGGCTGGTTGTACAAACACAACTTGCATTTCAAATGGCTTGGACTCAGACTGTAAAGGTGAGGACGGCAGCGCTGCCACCAACTGTTTTTGTAACACCTGCTACTGGCACCCGCGCGCCAGTGTCAAGTCGGTCCATCTTGCAACATGTTAAATGGTCAAATGTGGATCTTCTGTTGCATTTTAATGCCTGAGAAGCCAGCATGAATCGAATGATATGTAAATGTTGAAAGACATATTAAAGCCGTGAGGTGAAAACCTGGCAAACTCTTCAACATCCGCAATTTGTTCCTCATTCCACTGCCATAATCGCAAGAGCCGGTACCTCATGAACTCAAAGTTGAAACTCACCCGCAGACATGCTCAGCAGCACACCCCCTCGGTTCCACCAAACAGGGTTGACGATGCCCTTGTCTTTCATGGAACTCAAATACCTGCCACTTCGCAATTATCAGCAGACTGGATGAAAGTCTGTTACCTGCTGGACAAGACACACGTCTTTCTTGTGCCATGGCATCATGCTACTTTAAAAAAAAAAGGCAAGAGACCCCAAACAGTTTGAGGATGATGAGGTGTAGGGTGATGATGTTGAGGATGATGAGGTGGAGGATGATGATTTTGAGGATGATGATGTCAAGGGGGAGGAAGAGGATGATGTGGGGAATGATGATGCTGGGGAGGAGGAAGAGGATGATACTGAGGATGCTGATGCGGAGGAGGAGGACCGATCCCAAGACCGCGCTGCGTGTTTTGTGCGAGCCTGCGCAGTCGAAATGCACTTCAACATTTCACAAGAGCCATTTTATACGGAAATTTACAGGAAACATGCCGCGGCCCAGAACCTAGGACCACACTTTGCGCAAGCCTATGCAGTCGAAATGCACTTCAACATTTCACAAAAGCCACTTTATACAGAAATTTACAGGAAAAATTCTCGGGCCCAGAGTGAGCACCCTGATTAAGCACCGGCTTTTACACTTGCCGTAAGAACCCCTCAGTGTGGACACACTGTTTGGGAAACTTGACGAGAGTGAAAAGGGCAATCTGTTGGGACTACTCTGCAAGGAGGCTGTACTCGGCGCACTTCCCTACCACTGCTCCCATAGGATCGGCGAAAAACATGGGAGCCAAAACCTCAAAGACTCCAATGGCTCTTTGAACCATTCATCACCCGGTCAGCTGAAGAGTTGGAAATGCATAGCCATAGATGGAACACACCTGGACAAATAGATCACATGAGCCGTCATGAGCCAATGTCCGAGTTCCAAGCGTGTATTGGAAGCTGGAGAGCAAACCAAGCAACTGCGGTAAGGAGGTACACAGTCATCCTTCCAAGCATGCAAATTTAGCATTGAGAAATACCAGCAGATGGAAGTCGCCTCATTCAATGTTTGGTCATACATTGGATTTCCAGCGGATGCAGAAAAAACTTGGATGAATTCAAGCCCGCTGCACAATCATCCATCATCGGAAGGTTTTGCCATTGTTCCGATCAGCAGTGCCCAAAACTTTGTGCCGCATAACCGACATAACCCCAACAATGGTAACTCAAATCTTTCGGCTGACAAGCTCAGGCGCTTACCCAATATCTCGAGACTTTCCAAAACGAAAGGGCTCCAACTTGGGATGGATCTGCGCAGGAGCATTTGGAGAGCCACAGGCAGCAGTGTGAGATACTGTTGATATATCATCCTGATATATCTGGTTAGACTGAAGTTAGACTATTTTAGATTGATCCATGGAATCCTAAAGGAGAGCGTTCAACAGAAAGATCGAAAGATCTTTGACACTCCTTATCTTCTTCCATCCCACACATCCTGACCCGTTGAGGCGATATCTCTCACCTGGGAGGACCAAACCGGCCCAAGACTGTTGGAAGCCACACCTCCCAGGTCAATGCCAAGGATACCACAGCAATGGCATAGACAAAGTACCGAACTGTCCTGTCAGCCAAAAGCAGATAGCAAATACGCCGACCATTTTCTGGATAAACCTGACAAACCCAATCATCAAAAAAATACAGCTGCCAATTGCTGGGGGCACGCACTCGTCTCTGGAATCAAGCTGTAAGAGCATCAGACCTGTACCTGCCAGGCAATGGCTCTTTCGCTCCTCTACTGTTTTTGGGTGAGGATGTTAGCGGCATACGGACAGAAAAGGAGCACTTACATATATGTTTTGCTTATTTTGATCATGTGTCTTTCCTTGAACTTGTTCGTTTTTGGGTCCGGTTTTTTCCTTGCTATTGCAGCATTTTTGAATCTGACATATTTAATTTGCACATTACCTGCTGCATTTGGGAGCTACAAAAGATCTGCAATTGTGCACGGTACTTGCGGCAAGTTGAAAGCAAAATCTGTCGTTTGCATGGCAGCAATTTGCGCAGTATTTTTTGCAGATGTTTAATTTGGAATCTCTCGTTTGCATAATTGTGCTAGTATCTTGAAAGTATTATCTGTCGTTTGCATGGTATTTCAGAACTTTGAAACTCAAATCTTTCAGTTGCAAAATTGTTCTAGCATTTTTGAGCCTGGCTGGAACTTGTTCTGTGGCTGGTACTTGCATCAGTTTGGGATAAGGTGTCTGCTCCTGATATGTATATATATACATATAGTCTTGCTTTCTCAGCACTTAGCGTTCTTTGTTCTTTGTTTCTTTTAATTTGTCCCTTGTTTTTTGCACAATACTTGCAGCACATTGGAGACTGAATCTCTACTTGCAATGTACTTGCAGCATTTTCGCCTTTTTAAAATATCTAAAACAACAATTGGATGGCACTACTTTGGAATGGAGAAGTGCAAATGTCGTGGTGCGGCAGGTGTTTATTTTCTTGTGATGTTTTTTGTCTTTTGTCATTGCCATCCCTGTCGTCCTTCTGAGCTGGTGCTGTTGCTTATTGACACTATTGCAGCTACGTTGTTGAGCTTCTTTGAAGTGGATATTTCTGGGGAAGAGGCCAAGAAGCCAAGAAGTCCCAATGAATGCAACAATCCAACAAGCCACAATGAAACCTCAGTGCAGCCATGAACCTAAGAAGCCAAGAAGCCAAAAAAAAAAGTTTCGGAGCCTGAATCTGCCGTTGTCAATATTGTTGCAGCAATTTGGACCTCGAATCTCTAATTTCCATGCTATTTGCAGGTGCTTTGATATTTGGAAGCTTACATCTCTCAATTGCGGGAAAAATTGAAGTAATTTCCGGTTTTGTAACAGCTGAGCTTTGCTTTCGATGTGTTTTTTCATGGCAGGTGCAGCGCCTCAGACAACAAGATCATGTGTTCTGTTGGCATTGCTCTCTCCTTGTTTATTGGTGGCTGATGTTGCAGTTTGTCTTTTTTGGCATTTTCTTTGCTTTGTTTTTCTTATCATATTGCTATTAATATTATTCTTATTACGATTGTTATTATTGCTATTCTTTATTATCATTACGTTTATTGTTCTTTAATATAATGTTTTCCTTGATGTTTGTTTGCACAATGCGTGCAAATGCGTGCAATGTATTTAAGGTTACACTTCTGGTGTGAATGGTATGTGTAGCGCTTTGGTGCTGAAATATATACTGGTATTTGCAGCCGTTTGGGCTAAATTCCTGCTCTTGGTTTTGTTGTCTCATGTTGGATATTGTTTTCTTACATTCTTGTATATGTTGTCTCCTCTGGTTTGCACAACAGTTGCAGCACATTGCTAAGAAACCACAAAAGCCAAGGAAGCCAAGTAGCCAAAAGGCACAAAAACCTAGAAGCCAAAAGCCACAAAAATATACAAAATCCACAGAAGCAACCCAAACCTAGAAGCGGAAAAATGCGCGACACGCCTCCCAGAGAGTATTGAAAAAACCGTGGTGCTTGAAGTACAAACTTCTTATATAATGTATGTCAACATTAGCACAATGATGTGCCTGCATGGCAAATCTTCCTGGCGTGGAAGTTGGAAAGTGTCTTGGTGCTCTTTTCCAAAAACCTCGAGAGGCTGAGCTCAGTTAGCATTCCAGAAACTGGCAAAAAGGGAAAGTTAAGCAACACCAAAGGATACCAAAGCTATGGTCATAGAGTCATACAGGACCAATTGCCTCATTTTGGATTTCATATGGTTCAAACTTCTACACAAGGCAGACTCTGGGGCCACCGACGCCAACAAACAGCATTCAAAAGCTGCACAAAGAGCGATCAGATGAAGCTGCAAAGCGGAAACAGTGCCAGGATAGGGCCAGGGGTGGGAAGACTCTGAGACTCTGAGGCAACCGTAATTTTGGACTTTGGAGATCTGTACCTGCCTAGCATTGCCTGCAATGCGAACCGGGCTGCTCGGGTTTCCAAACAGGGCAGGCTAACATGAATGAGGGTCAAAATCGTTTGAAATATAACAAGACAAAACAAATTTATCAAATTGATTCATTGAGCCTCTATTATTCTCCCATATTTCCGCCCGGTCCCAACCAGCTGTCTTTTTCTGCCTCCATGCCGCTGTTCGGCGCTGCGTGAACCTCCTTGCTGAAAGCCAGGTGGCTGCAGCACCACCCGCTTCATCCCAGAATTGGTAGGGAAGTCTCTTGGGGACTCCCCTTGTTGGATGGCAAAAGCACCATCTCCTGCATGTTTATTATATATATATATTCATATTTATATGTCTTCATACCAACCCAGTGATTTCAGTGTAGCAACCTGGAAATGGCGGTCAAGAACTGCTACCCCAAAAAGGGCTGGCTTTGCTCGTCCAGAGGTCTTAATCTTTGACCTAGACCTAAATGGAACTCCACGGGTCTTCATTTTCTGATCACGCTTGCAACCCAGTCATAGTATGTCAGAGTCACTTGCCAAGCCTCATAGACAACGAAAAAGCTGATACAGGAACTATTGGGCACCACACTTTATTCATCCAACACAGGCTTATTGACCACTGGACAGCCTTTCAAAGGTCAAGAAAGTTGGAGGTTCTTGATTGGAAATGGACACCTGATGGACACCTGATCGACACCTGATGGACACCTGATGGACACCTGATGGATACCTGAACCATCCTTAAGGAATCGAACAAGCAATCGACCCCCGCGGTTTCCCACATGTTTTTTCTTCAAGTGGCGCAACGAATGGCGCAGCTGCGTGCCACTCCGCCTAGCGCAACGAGTGGGCTCCGAAATGAAATGACCCAGAAGTCCCAGGATGTCTTGCAGGAAACACCAATTCAATTGTTCAGTGAAACCATCTTGTCTTTGCAGGTCGAATTTCAAACTCTTGGGTTCAACAGCCTATCTGTTTACAGCCTATCTGTTTAGCAGCTTATCCAAACGCATCCAAAAACCTTTGTCATTTTTTTCCCGAGAGCGCCTGAGCGAAGGGTTCTTCTAAGAGTGGAGGTCTGCTATACGTCTGCACATCTTCACACATCTTCACACATCTTCACACATCTTCACACATCTTCACACATCTTCTCTCTCTCTCTCTCTCTCTCTCTTTCTCTCTCTTGCCCTCTGTCACGGTCTCTCTTCTTCTTTTTCTTTTCTCTCTTAAGGCCGCAGGCAGTGCCTATGATGCGCCACGATATGGCCACTTTTTCGCACGAAATGAGGTTCGAGTGTCAGAAACTCAGATGTTTTTCCGAATTTACTTCTGCTGCAGCAACCTTTTCGCACGAAACGAGGTTCAAGTGTCAAACTTACGGTTTTGGCGATTTTACAACTTCCCCCGCAACCATTTCGCACAAAACGAGGTTCGAGTGTCAAAAACCAAGGTGTTTTTGCGATTGGCAACCCTTTCGCTCAAAAATTGAGGGTTTTTTGCGGTTTCAACTTCGGCGGCAACCATTTCGCACGAAATGAGGTTAAGTGTCAAAAACTGGAGTTTTTTGCGAGTTTGGTTGGTCCGGTGGTAACGCTTTCGCCTTGTGTGTAAAAGTGTTTGTGTAGAAGAGTTTGTGTGTAAAAGTGTTTTTGTGTAAAAGCGTTTGTGTGTCAAAGCATTTGTGTGTGTGTCAAAGCGTTTGTGTGTAAAAGCGTCTGTGTGTAAAAGGGTTTGTGTGTACAAGCTCTGGTGTGTCAAAGTGTTTGTGTGTAGAAGCGTTTGTGTGCACAAGCGTTTGTGTGTAAAAGGGTCTGTGTGTAAAAGTGTCTGCGTGTAAAAGCGCTTGTGTGTAAAAGCGTTTGTGCGTCAAAGCGTTTGTGAGTAAACATGATTGTGTGTAAGCGATTGTGTGTAAAAGTTTTTATGTGGTAAAGGGTCTGCGTGTAAAAGTGTTCGTGTGTAAAAGTGTTTGTGCGTAAAAGCGTCTGCGTGTAAAAGTGTTTGTCATTGTGTAAATGCGTCTGTGTGTCAAAGCGTCTGTGTGTAAAAGCGTCTGTGTGTAAAAGTGTGTGTGTAATAGTGTTTGTGTGCGAAAGGGTCTGTGTGTAAAAGTGTTTGTGTGTAAAAGTGTTTGTGCGTAAAAGCGATTGTGTGTAAAAGTGTTGGTGTGGTAAAGAATCTGTATGTAAAAGCGTTTGCGTGTAAGGTTGTTTGTATGTGAAAGGAGGTTGTGTGTAAAAGGGTTTGTGGGCAAAAGTGTCTGTGTGTGTGTAAAAGCATCGGCGTGTAAAAGGGATTGTGGGCGAAATTGTTTGTAAAAGCACCTGTGTGTGTGTGTGTGAAAGGTTTCTTTGTAAAAGTGTTGGTGTGTAAACTCGTCTTTGGGTAAAGGGGCTTGTGTGTAAAAGCGATTCGGTATAAGAATCTGTATGTAAAAGCGGCGCTGTGTAAAAGCAGCTGTTTGTGTGTGTGTGTTTTTTTTGCGCACACGCCATTTCACACTGCAGAATGGTCTATGCCGGCCAGCACCTCAATTAGGTGGTTCCATTGTCGGAATCTATCTGGCTCCCATCGCACAAGTCACATTTGTGACGGAGAAAAACCAAATGGTGAAAAATTGAAGCAAAAAATCTTCCTTCTGCCTCGTTCTGACTTCGCGCTGTCAGGTTGCTTCGGATGTCTTGGTCCCTGCCAGCATGTCCCAGAGTGCCTTCTGTGTTTCCTCCAAGGCTGTGCGGCGATAGGCATGCAGATGGAGCACATCAGTTCGGACCATCCATGCCACTGTTGTGCTGCCAATGAACCAAGTTGGTAAGTTCCAAATGGGCTCAGGGCTGCGCCAGTCATCCACCAACAGCCAACAAATGGCCTCTGTGTGATCCCTGACATGTGGAGAGACCCGTAGGGTAGTGCGATAATGTCCTGCGCCATCACTGCCTTGATGCGCCATCATCGCCACTATGGTGTATCCAACATGATCAAAATCAGTCATATTGTCAGTGAAAATGGGGAGCAAGACTTCCATGTCATGCTGCAATTGGCTGGTGCATTTGTAAATGCCTGCTGGTCCTTGCACACATCGATCCAAATGAACACAAACGCAGTCAGAGGCGGAGACCAAGCTCGTAACCATCCCATCAACCTGATGCCAAATCATGCCAAGAGCTGTCAAATCACATGAATGCAAAAGCAAGGTCTGCATGTCAAACTTGAAGCAAATGGGTGTATATTTGGTGCTGAAATCCATGACGCGCACAGTCTCATCTGTTTTCAAGCGCCTCTCCCAGCGCATGTCAAACACCGCTGAATCAAGCAGTTGCAGCCAGTGCTGGATAAACTCCGCTGCATCTTGTTGTGAGATGCTAGCATTGGTCGCAGCCAAATCTGCGGGTCCCCAGCATTGTAGCACTTCAGTGAAAAAGGATTCTTGAGAAAGATTGCCTGCTTGAGTTTGCAACTTAACAAGAAAATTCATCAAAGCGCCACACTGCGTCCCCAACATTGCTGAATCAAAATGCGTCAAGCTCAGCATGCACCACAGAAGAGAGTGGAATGTCGCATTGGCAAAGCACCAGTTGTTGGGATTTTCCAAGACTGTATGTGCCAAAATGGACATGAGCTCCGTTCTGGTCAAGGCGCGGTGCCCTCGGTCTTGGTCTTCTGAGGTTTGGGGCGATGGCCTTTGCCCTTCCCCTTGCCTTTCTGATTGTCCTGTTTGAGTCCCATCATTTGTTCCAACTGCAGCGCCAAGGGTGATTGCATCCTGCTGTGGGGTTTCAGACTCGTAGCCATCAATGTCCACACGCTTGAATGAGCCAGGGCTTGCATGAGCTCCCATGGTCGGTCTGCTCGGAGACAAAGCTGGAGTCTCCACGGAGCCACATTGCTGGTTTCCTTTGTCGGGAGTGCGTGGAACCGTTGGATGACCGACGGATTGCTCAGCATGTCCAGCATCTCCGTGCAGTTCTGATGCATTTTGTTGAGACTGAGTGGTGTCTTTTTGGACACCTGCAGGGTCTTCTTGGCCGGATTCCACTCCAAGTAGGGGAAAGTCTGATCTGGCAACAAGATTAAGGCTTCCATCGCCTTCTTCTTCAGGTCGGACCCCTCCGGTGCATCCAGAAGCTTCTGTATGCGATCCATGAGATCCTGGAACAGCGTCTGCAGCAGCAATTGTCTCAGTGGTGTCGTCGATGACAATGATCCCGCCTGAGAAACCTGTGTGTGCCATTGTGCCGCTGTTCTTTGGAGCAGAGGCAGAGAGCCGGTCTCCTCCACCTTGTTGAAGAAGAAGATGAATGTGTCTTCCCTTTTCTGCATCTGCTGGTCCCTGTCCAGATTGATGATCATTCTTGCCATCATCTGCATGGCAGGATTCACTTGGCTGTCTGTCTCCTCCTTGACGGCCGGTTTGTCCTTTGACATCGGGTGGACTTTCTGTCGCTTGGTTGCCCCCGGATTGGGAGTCAGCTTCAGGGTGCCGTCCAGGAATGGAGCCAGGCTGCGAAAAGCCTGGAACACCTGGCTGGAGGCATCTTCGTTGTCCATCTGCCAATCGTCGGCCATGGTGGATCAAGGTGAGCGCTGCAGCAAGCTGAAGCACACAGGGGCACTGAGCTTTATAGTGTCCTTGAACCAGTGTTTGGCGCACATATTCCTGCATGGTCGTCTTTGTAGTCTGAGGATGGTTGAAGATTTGTCCACATGCAAAACATGAGCAGTCATTGGCAAGAAGTTCCATTGGCTGTGTCATGAGCTGTTTCACATACGATTGAACAACTGGACTGGTGCAGTTGTGCGCCTCAAACATGTGTAGGGCCAGTTCTGCAGTAGGACAGATGCATCCACAGAGCAGGCACTGATGGCTCAGGGCTTGCATCAATTCTGCCTCATGCCAAATCGGGCGCAAATCATGGTTGATCAAACACTGTTCAAGCTTGAAGCGCAATGCCGAAGAAAATCCTTTTGGAAACAAACGTGCCAAATCTGTCTCAAGAACTTCACAAGGCTGGAACACAGCTTCAGGGACTCGTAGAAATTGCATGGCAAGCTGGGTGAACGGAAGACATGTGTGATTCAGTCGAGACACAGCACAGGACGGATTGCATACGCAACCCAGGCAATTGTAATAGAGCTCAACCATCTGCATTGTGAGAGCTTTTGCATCAGCCCACAATCTGGAATGAGCAACCTGTAGATGTTGTGACAGATCACTGGAGCGCGTGTAGGTTCTGGTGCAGCCTTGACAATGCAAGGTCAGGCGTTGCCGCATTCGAGCATCACGCAGGGTCTGTCTCATCTTGCCTCGACAGCATGCTTCAATCCACTCAGTGGCAACTGGTCTGGATTCTGTTGGCGCGTCTGGATTGAAGGCCCGGCATCGGCCTTGATTGATGTGAGACCGAAGGCCTTCCATGGTCTCAAACAAACTGTGACAATGGCTGCAAGCCGGCTCACCGGCTATGCTGTCTCGACTTGCATTCCACGTGGAACTCACAAGCTTGTGCACATCAATCAAGTGCAGGTGAAGCGAGTTGGCATCACTGCATCGTAGGTCACAAATGGCACAAGTCAATCTGTCAGCGCATTGAGGTGAGTCACTCGGTGCAAAGTGTCCTGCTCCATGCACAAGCAAAACTGAAATCTGATACCAGACGTTGCAAACATGATTGTAGACAAAGGTCACCCCACAAGCTGTGCAAGGTGTTTCATCACAGTGCATGTTCGTGAGCTGGGTGGCCTTGGTGTGAATGGCATCATGATCCATCGGGTGTGCAGTCCTCATGTGTAAATGCATGGCATGGGCTCTACCAACAAATTGGCCACAAAGGATGCACTTGTGGGCCATGTATTGACATGCAGCCCGATCTTTCATGATCTGTGTCCACTGTCGGTTCTGCAGAAGGGTCTGCAAACGTGGCCCAAACTCCAGACTTCGCAGGAGAGCCATATCATGGTCAGTGAGCATGTTTTCACTGCGCAAAGCTGCATCAGGGTTGGACATGGTGTCAGCAAAGTGCCGATCAGAGGCAAGTCCAGTCACAGACGGGTCTGGCGGCAGGTATCTGTGCAGGACCTGACAGCTGCGCTGAATGTGTGCCATGAAACTGCGCCATGTTGTAAAGGCTGCATGACAATGTTTACATTGTGGAAGACCATTTAGCATGTGTTGGGCTGGGTTAGGGACAAAGGTCTGGTGAGGGGTAACATGATGGACCTGGGTGTAATGTCTCCGCAAGACGCTGATATGTTGACACAAAAAGCCACAAATTTCACAAGTGATCACATCATCATCTGCCTGAGAGGAAGTCAAATGGGTCGAAAGCGGCACTTCCACACCTGCAAGATAGTGGTTCCAGAGCATGTCTCTGATGGTTGCAAGACTGCTCCAATCTAATGTGCGGCCAACATCGTCCGCAGGCAAGGAGATCTGGCACTGGGTCACTGACTGATACAGGGAGTCAGCAGCGTGCCAGAGCAAGGCTAGCGGGTGCAAAATGTTCCAGTGGCTCAAAACCGCTGCATGGGTCATACCAGTGCGATATGAGTGATTATGCAAAATCTGCCTAATCATGGTGAACATGGTAACTTGAACCTTGTGCAGGTCAGCAGGTGTCAGGCCGATGACAAAAATTCCATAGGTCAAAACTGGGACAACACACGTATGCCACAATCGCATCCTAGTGGACAAAGTCAAGCCATGTTTTGCTGTGAGCCACTTCCGAAGTCGGTCAAAAGCAACTTTCATGAGAGACAAGCGATGCTTTAGAGTGTCAGATTCCATGCGGTCATAACTGATGATACATCCAAGGTATTTAGTCTTCTTGCCAAGTGGGATCATGAAGGTCCGCTGGCTGCTGCCCTGAATTTTTACAAATTGGCCATCAGCAGTTTGGGTCACAGTCCGTGCACGCACTTCACGGTGGGAAGTGCCAGCCATAGCCAGCAATATAACCGATTTGGAAGCATTGATCGTGAGGCCATGCTGTTGTAGCTGTTCAAGGATGATGCCAAACTTGTGCAAAATCATCTTCAGTTCATGTTCGGTATAAAAAACACTACCAACATGCAGATCGTCGGCAAAGAAGTCAAGGTGATCTTGGAGCCAAGTGAAGTCGATATGTGCAGCAACATCCCTCATGTAGAGAGCTAGAAACGCATTGAACAACCATGGTGCCGCCTTACATCCTTGGCGAACACCAGAACCAATTGGCATGGCCTGGCTGTGTTCTCCCACCGTTACATGGTAATTGGTCATGCAATGCCATTGTGTGAGAATCTGCACAAGCCGAGGGTTCACGCCTACTTCACAGAGTCTGCAAAACAGTGCTGGTCTGGAAACTGTATCAAAGGCTCTTTGCAAGTCTACAAACAATTGCACCGCCCCACAAGTTTTGAAACTGGGTAGCTTCTGTGACCTGTGAAAAGGCGTTGGCTTCTGTGAGTTCAAAAGAGCCTTGGCCTCTCTGCAATGCGTAGCCACTCGATGGAGTGCATGTTGCATCGAACGATGTGGTAAATACGCCCAAAATGGTAAGGATGCAAAACACTGTTTGGACTCACATTGTGCTTTCTGGGCAAGCAGTCCTATGACTGCCTTGCCGATGGGTTCCTGGAGGGCTAAGGGTCTTAAAGACTCCGGCAAAACCGGTGCCTTCCCCGGTTTCGGGATGAGCAATAGCCATGCATCTTTCCAAATCTGGGGTATAAAAACCTCTGCAGTGCTCCACCAAGTGCAAAGTGCACGATACAAAAAGGGCGTAATCAGAGCAGCCTGGGATTTCCAAACAAAACCTGCAATGAATGGTCGTGCAACAGCTTTGGTCGCCGGGATGCTCTGAAGGGCCTTCAGCAACTCCCATTCAGCAAACGGCATGTCAACCAAGGCAGTTGGTGGCGCCATAATTTGGCTGGGGCCTGCCCAGATCTTTTTCACAAAAGCACTGAGGATGGCAAGTTCCTCAACAGGTGTTGCAATACTACCAACGCTATTCCTCAACTGCACTCTGCGTCTGGGTTGTTTTGGACAGAATTTAGAGATGGTTTGGAAAAGCTTGTGTGAATCATGGCAATATGCAGCAATCTGTGCTTCCTCAAGTATCTGAGTGAATTTGCTGTCGCACCTGCCATGCATGTCGTTTGTGAAGGCGCTTGAGAGCCTGAAATCTGGTCACATGCAGCCAGGCAAGGAGCACATTGCGCTGAGTCACTGTGGTGATACTTTTGCAACAAGCGCGGTGTTTCCATTTGTCCAGGATGATGTGTCGATTTTCAGTCCAATGTGGCTGTGTGACAGTGCTGGTTCCTACAGGAAAACATGCATGAAAGTTGATACCTGCCGTCTCATGCAGCTTGGTGATAAGTTCTGGATCTGAGTGCTCGACAGTGGTCAGGCATGCAGTCAAACTCTGGCCAGACTCTTGCATGAACTTATGCCACTGCGTGTGTGTGTGTGTGTAACAGGGATCATGTGTGGCCTGCTTGCGACAGAGTCGTGTCCCGGCTGGAGTTGAGAGATGTGGCATGTTTAGCAATCAATTCTTGCATATGCTTGGCTGCAGGTGTCATGTTTGTATACTTTTTCTGTGTGTAAAAGTGCTTGTGTGTAAAAGGGGATTGGGCGAACGGTTTAATTATGTGTAAAGGAGTCTGTGTGTCAAAAAGGGTTTTATGTGTAAAAGCGTCTCTGTGTGTAAAAGTGTTTGTGTGTATAATGTCTGTATGTAAAAGCGTATTTGTGTGATACGGTCTTTGTGTAAAAGCACAGTTGTGTGTAAGGCGTGTGTGTATGTATGAGCATGCTTGTATGTAAAAATGTCCGTCTCAATTCTTCCTCCTGTGTCTCCTTCGTTTCATCTTTCTGTTATGTCTCCTTCATTTTTTTCATGTGTGCCTCCTTTTCACAACACGTCTGCACCATGTCTCTTCATTTTAGGCATCAT